CTTTTGCAACATCGCTTTTCTTCTCACCTCCTTCTACTTTTCCAATTAGTTTCTTTTTTTCAGCAATCGTCAAACTTTTATACTTTTTAGGACTCATTTCATAAAAAAATGTAATATGTATACTAACGAAGCGATTCGTGCGGAAGTGAGCATAAAAATGTGTCTATGCTTTATTTGTAACACGTAACCACGCACAGTAAAGTTAGTTTCAGGAGAGTTCCAAAATTCAAATTCAAAGTTCTTACTACCACACCAAGAAACTTCGCAGATTCGAATTGTCGAGTGTTTAACCATATGAGTACGAATTACCGCATCCTAGCAAAGATTTTTTAGTTCGAATTATAAAGAGATTTTGTAGAGGACTCGTGATAACTTAGAATTAATGAGAGGTTCGAAATAACGCAGGTTTGAAATAACAAGAGTCGACTGTACATAGATTAGCGCTGACCCTTAGAGCCTCAGTGAATAGAAAACAAAGCAAATTATGAAAAATACAAATATACAATCTTTTCAGTTAGAAGTTTGAAATTCAACCAAGCATTTACAGTTGAGCAATTAATTTACTTTACTCTTATCGACTTTGAATTCTTGTTACAGGTATTGGTAGGCACAGCTCAGGTCATTCTCAATTTAATAAGTGAAAATTACATGTCACTGACTTCGGTGAGCATTGCTATTTTAGACGAATGCCATCATGGCACTGGCAAACACCCATATCACGAGTTTATGAAGCTTGTTCAAATGCAAATGAAAAAAGGTATAAAAAACCTGCCCCGAATCGTAGGTCTGACCGGCGTCCTGATTAAAGGCAACGAGATTAAGGAGGTAGCCAAAAAGTTAAAAGAGCTGGAAACCACATATTGTGGCAATATTGTCACCGTCTCTGACACCAAGGAATTGGAGAACGTAATGCTGTGAGCATGCAAACATTAAGAAATTATTAAATACTAACTTATTCTTTACATGTTTCCCAGTCACTCCACCAAACCGCGCGAATCGCTAATGACCTATAAATCGGAGGTTCAAATATTTGACAAAATTAAAAAAATCAGGCAACGCATCAAGAACTACTTACAGACGCTGGAACTCCAAGACATTGGGGTTCAGCCCGTGCGTATGTCCAAGGGGATGCGAATACAGCGCGAACCGAACAAAAAGAGCGCCATAAAACTGCTAATTAATGACTTTCTATACCAATTGGATAACTACGGCATCTATGCGGGATCCATTGCAATCGTATCCTTGATAGTCGAGTTTGAGATAAAACGGCGACAGGCCGAGACGCTCAGTTTGCGTAATATGTATCGCTCAGCCATCACGCTCTGCGAGACTGTGCGCCACATGTTGGTTTCGAAACTACGCGACATGTTGGACGACGATCAGATGTCCGACGACATGATCAATACAGAAGAAGTGATCATGAACTTCTCCACGCCTAAAGTGCAATTGTTTTTGCAGTATCTGAAGCAAACCTTTGGCAACAAGCAACCCAAAGATATTTGCTGTCTGGTCTTTGTAGAGCGTCGCTATACGTGCAAGTGTATCTATGGACTACTGCTTAACTATATTGCAGCCACGCCCGAGCTACGAAACGTGCTTTTTCCTCAATTTATGGTTGGACGCAGTGGTATTTTTCATGATTTCGACAAACTCGAACGTCGCTGGCTAAAATCGGTATGTAATCAAACCGATTGAATCTCAATTACGAAATTACAATTCTTGATTTCTTACGCGATAGTTGAAACAAAAGTTGACCTTGCTATTGTTATTCCTAGCTATTTTTTGTTAGAATGCTGAATAGCAAGTGTGGGAATTTCTAGTGTATATTTCTATGATGAGGCGGGTCAGGAAAATATAATTTCAGGTTTTTATTTAAAACCTATTTCGTTGCTCTCAGGCAATTCAAGAGTTTCGGGATGGCGAGGCAAATATGATGATATGCTCCAGCGTTTTGGAGGAAGGCATAGATGTACAGGCCTGTAACTATGTAATTATACTGGATCCGATAAAGACCTTCAATATGTATGTGCAAACCAAGGGACGTGCGCGCTCAAAGGAAGCATCATTCATAATCATCTCGTCGGATCTGGAAAAGCAAAAGACCTCGACTCAAATACTGCAGTATCGAAAGGCACACGCCGACATCGGTGAATATCTGAAAGATCGCGTGCTAGAGCGTGCAGATCCCCAACTGGACGATATCAACGAGCACTTCCAGGATGATATTCCGCCGTTCATCAGCGGAAGTGGTGCCGTGTTGCTGGCCAGCAGTGCCCTAGCCCTAGTGCATCGCTATTGCCAACAGATGCCATCGGATGCCTTTGGCATTGTCCTGCCCTGGTTCAAGCTACTCGAGCCAGAGGAACGTAGGGCATTCACCAAAGATTGGGCGCAAAAATATGTTGTGTCCCTAACCTTGCCACTTAACTCAGCGTTACGCGAAACAATCTATGTAAGCGATCACAATTATGGTTTTCTTCGATCAGCGATCATTATGATCTAATGCCTCATTCATTTACAGAGTGACGCCATGCCTTGCTCACGCTTGGCTAAAATTTCGGCGGCATTCAAGACCTGTGTCAAACTCTACCAGTTGGGTGAACTTAATGAGCGCTTTTTGCCTACAACGGCAATCGAACGCGTTGCCGAGATCGCCAATATTCACTTTGAGCATTGGAAGAAGTACGGCGACAATGGTGTGTATCTCTTTTCCAAATGCGTATGAGTGGAAATCATGATTTCAATGTGACTTGACAATGACTCCTTATAACATTTGGACATATAATTTCTGGTTCGAAATATTTTATCAATTGCGATGATATGATTTATTTACAGATTACCATTATGCAAAACCAATATAATCAATTGATTCAAGAGCAAGGCTATGATTATAGTTTTTCAATATTGTATATACATGTATATATATATATATATATATAAGTTCATATACTATTATACTCTTACATTTGTTTACTTGCAGTTACCTTTAAGCATTCAGATCGCGAACATATCAACAAGAACATGAAAACTTATGTCACAAAATATCCAGAAGAATTTAACGATGCTATGCCGCGAGTGGGAGTTACATGCTATGCATATGAGATTAGTGTCGAGCCACACTACGATCGCAATGATTACACGAGTCATATTTACGACTCGCTGCAAACGCGTCGGAACTACGCTCTGCTGCTGACGAAGCGGTTGCCACGCATGGCCGAGATGCCACTCTTCAGCCACCAGGGCAAGATGCATGCGCATGTGGCCGAAGAGCCGCGGGAGGTAGTCATACGGACAGAAGAGCAGTTGGAACAGGTGCAGCATTTTCATGTAATGATCTTCCGAGATATCCTGCGTATTTGGCAGCCATTTTTCGTGTTTGATCGCCATAGTAATGAAAACTCTTTCCTCGTGGTGCCACTGTCAGCAACGCCTGACGTTGGCATCGATTGGCCACTGGTACAACAATTCCAACGCTTGCCCAAGGCTCACTCTAGAAGTCTGGCCGAGCGCCAACAATTACCGCCACCTAATCCAGAGGACTATGTGGGCACGATAGTAACGCAGTGGTATGCCAATTACGATGAGAAACGTATGTTGGTTACCAAAGTCCACACGGATCTGACGCCCCTAAGCATGATGGAGGAAAAACATCAGGACAAGAACTACTACGAGTTCACCATGTCAAAGTACCGCAACTACATAGGCGATGTAGTGTACAAGCAGCAGTTCCTAATCGAGGTACGGGAACTATCCGATCAGTTGAATTTTTATGTGCAGCAACGCGTTAAATCCTCGGCACTGAGTAAAGCGCGTGCCAAGGTTATGCTAATTCCTGAGCTGTGCTTTAATTTCGGATTTCCTGGCGACCTGTGGGTGAAGCTGCTTTTCCTACCTAGTATATTGCGACGTCTGCACTTTATGCTGCATGCTGAGACGCTGCGTGTTCGAATTAATAAATATCTTGGTCTGGATAAAATGCCCCAGAACGGAGTGGATTATAGACCGCGGCCCTTGGAGATTGACTGGTCGCTCCGTCGAAACGTCGATCACCAGGGCAATGCGATGTATGCTGATGATTACGAAGAGCCGCGTCCACTGCTCGAGCCTCTGCCAACCAAGGGAGTCGAGATGGCGATGGAAAAGCTGGAGATAACCGACCTGGAAGTACCTTGGCAGCAGTATATGGAACCTCGCGACATTGAACGCAACGTCATGTCCACCTATCCTGTAGAACTTTCATATTTTTACAATTTCACCAAAGGAAAGAATGATAGTCTCGATAGTATGGAGTACGAGGACAAAGAGCTCTGGACCCAGTTGCAATTCAAAATGCCCAAGGGCAATATATATAGCAGTCAGACGCGTTCAAATAAGCTGCCTGCCATAATGCCCTCTAGCACGGATAATGGAAAACCTGTCGAGCAGGTGGAGTTATCTGTGTTGCAGCACAGTATTTCTAATGACCATATAACTCCAGCAGAACAGGGCGAGTTCCTGGCAGCCATCACATATGCGGGTAGTGTCGACGTCTTCGATATGGAGCGCTTCGAGCTTCTCGGCGATTGTTTTCTTAAACTCAGCGCCACCCTATATTTGGCTAACAGGTATCCGGACTGGAATGAAGGCATCCTGACACAGGTATTAATTAATAGTGATTGAAACAATTATGTGCATTTATATTTCTTATTGTTTCAGGTAAAATCGACGCTGGTTTCTAATCGTAATCTATTATACTGTCTCAGCGAAACAGACATACCCCTTCGCATCTACAGCACGCTCTTCACACCGAAGTACTCATGGCTGCCGCCCAGTGTGTCCTTGCCACAGAATGTGAAGGCTCTTTGGAAGGAGGATCCGGGTGTGGCAGCGCTGGTCGGTCCGCACAATTTGCGCAACTTATCCATCAGCGAGGAAGAGCTGTTCGGCGATGGCAATTGTGGAAAGCAATCGTTTATTCATTTTGTCAATGGCTGTCAAGCCAACCAGCAATCTCACCATGCGGGCTTAGACTATAGCAGCGAAATTAACTTCTGCCTGGGCCAGGTGCAGATGCCTGATAAACTGATCGCCGACACCCTGGAGGCGATATTGGGCGTGGTTGTGAAGAACTATGGACTGCATCACGGCTTCCGCATGCTGGAATATTTTGGCATCTGCAAACCAGACATTGGCAAGCCACTCACACAGCTGCTAGATCTGCGGCTAGGTGGGTCACGGATGCGCACCAATATTTCGCAGCGTGAGGTGGATGGTTTCTTGATCAATCATCGGCATTTAGAGCAAAATTTGGGTTACACTTTCTGCGATCGGGCTTATCTCCTGCAAGCCTTAACACATCCTTCGAATCCCACAAACCGTTTGACGGGTTGTTACCAGGAGTTGGAATTTATAGGCGATGCTATATTGGATTTCCTAATCTCAGCTTACATATTTGAGCACAAAACTCGTATGACACCTGGTCAGTTGACAGATCTGCGCTCGGCTCTGGTTAACAATACGACTCTGGCTTGCATTTGTGTGCGCCATCGATTCCATTTCTTCATTCTAGCAGAGAATGCACTACTCTCTGAATCGATTCAGAGTTTCGTGCAGTTCCAGGAGACGCAGAATCATCGCGTTACTAACCATGTGCGCATTCTCATGGAGGAGAAAGATGTGCAGCCGGAGCCTCTTGACTCAGATGAAGAATTAGAAATGGCCGAGCTGACGGCGAAGCAAGCCAAACCTACAATCAGCGAAGCCAAAGCCCCGAAAGTAGGCGAGTTTAACATTTCTCATAACGTCGATGTGCCCAAGGCCTTGGGTGATGTTCTGGAGGCACTTATAGCCGCCGTTTACCTAGACTGCCGCGACTTAAACACCACCTGGCAAGTGGTCTACAGACTGTTTGAGCCCGAACTACTGGAATTCTCGCGTAATGTGCCACTCAATCCGATCCGTCAGCTCTTTGAGCACAAGCTGGCAAAGCCCACCTTTAGCTCGCCTGTCATGGACAATAACCAAGTGATGGTCACCTGTCAATTCATCTGCATGGAGAAGACCATCAAGGTCTATGGCTTTGGTAATAACGGAAAGCAGGCCAAGTTGTCAGCTGCAAAACATGCTCTCCAAAAACTGGCCAAGTGCGAAGCATAGACCCATTAGGTTTCTATTTCCATTTTTTATTTTATTTTTTTTCAAATAATTTTGAAAGGTTTTGTAAAGATTTAGATATACAAGACGCTGTATATTTAATTATTTAATTCAATAAAAAAACAAGATAGAACGTTGCAGTCGGGTGTTACCGACTGCGAAATACTCATTCACACCCCATCAGCAACTTAGTAGCCAATTTTTGCTCTAATACTGTAGAAAATTCAGTTTTTCTCGATTTGCCAATCCCCTACTGGGCGGAGACACTTCATTTTTGGCCAGCTCATTGAACAAGCAAACGGTAACTTAGCTGCAAATTTTGGGTATTTTTTATGTACCACGCCCCTAAAGAGGCGTAACAATATTTAGGGAATCGATAAAGGAGGTTACTGGTAACATAACTATCCAAATTTAAAGCTTCTAGCTCTTATACTTTAGAAGCTATAAACTTTTGCGGTTTGTCACGCCCCCTGTGGGCGAACATATGTATATCCACCAAAGCTTCTTCGTCTTGGGAGATCAGCCCGAGTATATACATATTAATACCAAATTTGAGGTCTCTAGCATCAATAGTGTCCAAAATATATCTGAATCTGAAAAATCACATCTTCAGGTCCGAACTGCCACACCCCTAAACGGCGTAGTCATAAAAAATTTGCATTATTAATAACTGATTTTCGACACTGACTGTGTTCTCTGGCACTAACCTCTCTGGTCAGTGTTTTCGATAAGGTTTGTTATCGATAACAAACTAACGGGATGAGTTATCGATTTTTAGTGATAAACTCTATATGCACGCTATCACTCTCTGGTTAGTGGCGCTACATATACGGACAGTTGAAAAAAAATTTGAAGTCTAGCTCTTATATCTTCTAAAATCAACGCGTTCATACATACGGACAAGGCTGAATCGACTCAGCTCGTCGCCCTGATCAAGATATATACTCTGTGGGGTCTGCGACGTCTTCTACCTGTTACATACATTTTAATAAAACCATTATACCCTGGTTTCCCATTTGCCGAATCGGCTTACACCTTCCAGTCTGTCTATTCGTCCGTCCGTAGATAGAACAGAGACTTGAAGACTTGTCCGTTCGTGTATACCACGCGCATGCTTGTGCAGAATGAGTTGCAGGGGATCTCGTAGTAAGCTATTGAAAATGGGAAATCTAGTTATAATGGTTTTGCGAAAAGTAGGAAGGTATTCAGATGTTTTGTGTGTGTATGTACATATAAATGTATGTATACACATTTTGTAATTTACAGAGAGAATTGTTCTTCGGTTATACACACATTAAAAAATTATTACATGTACATATTTGTGCATAAAAGTGCAGAATGATTAGAATATCAGCTTGGAGGGTTCAGGGTATTTCCAGGTCGGGCAGTCTCAACTAGAGCACTCTTACTTGTTATATACATATGTATGTAATAATTCGATAGCAACCAAATTTAAACAAATTACATATTTTAAACCATAAATAAATCTGAAATATGATTATGAAAATCTGATATATGCTTTTATTATGTATTTTGCTTTTTATTTACGCAAGCACAATTCATTTAAAGTTATATACAATTTTTTATTTACAAAATGCTTAACGCATTCAACGATAACTATCAATGAACTGTTTTTTTGTATTCGCAAATGATGCTGGCCCGTTTCTAGAAGCTCTTTGCACAATTCAAGTTATTAATGGTTGTTATTACTATTGGAGCCCGCCACTGGTTTACAATTATTGAAGTGCTTACAGTTTACATACAAATAGTATATGTTAACATTTTGAAAGAAACTTGTACAATGAATTCAGAAATTGAAGGTGAGGAGTCAATAAATCAAAACAATCAAACGAATTAATATTTTGGAATGCCACAAATTGCACTGTGCAGATAGGGTTAAACATTTTTTTTCACAATAGAGGAAAAATACATTACATACACATATATTAAAACTAAGGCTAATGCGGTTTCGTATCAAGTAGATTAAATGAGATTAAGTTGCTCACCTAAACTAATACACAAATATTGTTCAAGTGCACTCCCCACAACTTGGGTTAAGCTCCTCTCTTTGCATAATCTATAATCTTTCATCTACACCCGGCAGGTGCAGTCGGGTTTGTTAATGCTGCGTTGTCTTGTTTGTAGATTCCGCAGGGCAGCCCCTCCATACTGAATGCCGCTTCCGATACGTTCAGGATCCAATTCGCCTGTCTCTATCTTGGCCAATATTGTCTTTGAGCACTTTAGAAATGCCTCCTCTACATTCTCACCCGTCTTAGCACTCGTCTCAAGGAATATTAGCTCTGAAATATACGAATAATTTATAGATATTGATTCATGGTTAGCCATGATTAACACACCATTTTCCTGTGCAAATGTGCTCGCCTCTAGGAAAGTGACATCACGTGCCTCCTCCAGATCCTTCTTGTTGCCCACTAGTAATATAACTATGTTTGGACTGGCCAATGTTCGAGCATCGTTTAACCAATTAGTCAAGGCATTGAACGAATCCCGTGACGTGCTATCATAAACCAAAAGAGCGCCAGCGGCGCCTCGATAATACGAACGGGTTACAGAACGGAAGCGTTCTTGCCCAGCTGTATCCCATATTTGAAGCTTCACCGATTTCCCACCCACATTAACAATCCTCGATCCAAACTCAACGCCAATCGTATGGGAGCTGTCGTCTTTAACTGGATAGATAAAGAATTAAACAACATGAATACAAATGTACATACATACATATGTGCGATGGTGGTATTTGAGTATAGGGAAAACTGTCATCACGTACATTTAACCCTTGTATACAGGATTTAGAGGAATGTCTTGCACTATGAGTTTTCATACAAATTTAATACAAAATGGAGATTCTCATTCGTACGCGAATTGTTTATATCGTTTTCATTCCATTTGTATATCGGTATATTGTATGTTATTTATACTCTTTTATTTTTCATTTTATACATATATATATAAAGTATCTATATTTATATATACTACGTATAACGATGAACTGAAGTGTTCAACAATTAGAATTTTTCCTGTCTATTTACCACCCTGTCTTCCAAATCAAATCAACTTACATTTACTTTCGATGAAATGATGCAAAAGACAGCTTTTGCCGCTGCCCGCGCTGCCGATTATGAGAAACTTAAATAGGTAATCTGCAAGCAAACAAATTTAGTTACTAATTAATACTGGATAATGCTATAAGCAATACAAACCGTATGTTTCAGACATGTTAGTTATTTTTGCGTTGTTCTTTCTTTGTTGCTGTTCTTGTGCTTAGTCTCAACGACTGCGTGGTTTTTAGTAGTCGTGAATTACTCTTGCAATGTTGCTGTAAGAGGTCAGAAATAAAGAAAGATTGCATTGTTTGTAACTAGAAAGTGTTATTGTTCACCTGCTGTACGACCACATCCATATAAACATACATATGTACATACATATGCACACATGAAAGTGACTCATGAACTGCATTTGAACTGAACTTTTTAGTTCTTGATTTAGTTCAACCACTAACCAGAGAGCTCACTGGTTCAACGGCCAAAATATTTTACCTTTTTTTAGAACTGCTTAATATTTTATTGATTTTAGAGTTAGAAGTACATTGTTTTTTTTTTTTTTTTCATTGGCATAAGTAAATGATCATTATATTACTACATCCATTTATTATATTTTCACTTGAAAAATTATCGAAATTTGAATTCTAAATGTATTTTATTTTCTATGTATCCTTTTTCTCTTCTGTATAATTTTGGTAGCAATTGATAGGATCTTTTGCTGTATAAACCGAATATGCTGTCTTGCTACCCTCAAAATTCTGAAAATACAAAAAATTGCACTGATTACTGGCATCCGCAGCTGATCTCTCAGATTGGGATAGCTTACTTTAATATCACCGGTTATCAGTGTCCATAAGTAAATAAATACGGCTGGCATCAAGCTAATGAGCACAGTTAGTTCAAACTGATTGAGCTCACCAAAAATAGCAATCTTCATTTTAATAAAGTAAATATAAAAAGAATTCCAATGCAAATGCAAATGTGCAAACGATGACAAATAGTTGATATTCACGTAGTCCACTTGCAAGGGTTGCCAATTTTTTCATCTTTTTTGAAAGATCCTAAAATATGAAAGAAAAGTGACTAGTATCACTTACCAGAGACTCTGCTAGTATTACTGAACATATCGCTAGTATTTTTAGTTTTTAAATATTTTTTTTTTTTTTTTTTTTTTAGAGTTTTTACTATTTTTTTGAGTTTAATTCGAATAAGAGAGTGAAAACAAGTATTTCGATTGGCCAGGGATACCGCACACGAGTTTTCTTCGGAGCTCTATTGTATTTGATAATATTTAGTGTATTGAATTACGGTCTTACAGCTAGTAATAGGTGGATTTTTATTTACTACAAAAACTTATTTAAATCGAAAATATGGCTTTCCGCATACCTTTTGGCAAAAAACACGCTGAAATCGCATCATCCTTGTAAGTATCAATAATGTTTAAGCAATTTTACTGCATTTATCTTTAACTGGTATGAGAGTAACATGCTATCACATTGCATAACCAATAATCGCCAAATCAGACAATTTTAACATTAATATCAATATCATTTTTATTTTAAGTGTAAGGTCCGGCGCAGGCTTCGGTGGTGCTGCTGGCTTGGCCCTGCTCTATTACACCGACTGGAAGCTGGTACTGCAGTACATGCCCATCTACGGTTCCAAGTTTGACAAGAGCGATTAAGCTAGACGTAGACGATGTTTAAACTCTTGTTGAAATATGTTTAAATAATGGTGAATAAAATAAGTCCAATCAGATGTTTGAAGTTTGTTATCGTTTACATACTGCCAGACAATAAGATTTATTATTCATTTGCGCATGTGTAAGTACAAGTACAATGCATAACAGTGGTTATGTTCAAACTTCTGATAAGATTTTTTACAATCTACGTTTCAAATTGAAGTTGGTTCATCGATTCATTAATTCGTGTTTTGATTTCACTATCTAGTTTAAGTGTTAGTGCCTTAAGTATATTACTTAAATTAATTCGATTAAAAAATCGCATAAAAACTACATATTCGAGCATTTGTATTCGAAGTAAAGTACCAATTATTCTTTTTTGAAAAGAAAAATTGTTAAACATTTGTGGAAGCACGAATCGACCGGCGATTAATTTCGAAAGAACAAAACTTGAGGAATGTAAATTAGGTTAAATATCCGGCTCCACAAAGGAAGCGGGAAATAAACCAGTTTTATGTGTGCGAGCATGTGTGCCCTTATACCATCCGTTCTTTTGTTTACGCTGCACGTAAATTATGTCGCCTGGCCGCAATTCCAGTTCAATTTCACTATTCGGCGGATAGGGCACAATGCACCGAAAGCGACTGCAATAAATATTGAGTAATATAGTATAGAGCTTGTTAAAACGAAAATCGATGGCCAATTCACCTCTCTCGCGTACAGTAGACCGACTTTGTCGTAGCACTAGCCTTGATGGCGGCTTCTGTTATAATGTTGCTATTAGCGTTAAGGCTGCTGTTGCTGTTGCTATTGTTGGCACTTAGCAAATGACCAGCGTCAAGGCTCTGACTCTTGCGGTGATTGGGCGTTAAAATCATGTTGGCATGCAGCTGTGTTTGTGTATGGCTTGAAGGTGGAGGTGGAGACGCGGCATTGTACATGCTGCAGAACGTAGCCGCATCCAAAGATTGTCTAGCACTACGATGAAAAAATCAGACTGGGGTAGCTGCGTTCTATTCTTATATTACTAATCAATGACTAACCACAGCAACTGCGGGCGATCCTTGTTGCTTTTGATACGCTGAGAGCCGTATGAGACGTTCCTAGTATCTTGATAGAGTTGGGCAGCATTTGAAGGAGTTGCTGCAGATGCTCCAGTGGTTTCTTTCAGTTGCTCACTTTGCTGCAGCTGACTGGGACATGAGCCAGATCTGAAATTAAAATACATTAGCTATACAGCTTTGTTCGGAGTTGAGGTTTGGACTAACCTCACGTGCACTGGATGTAATGGCGCGGCTTGGACCACATTTTCAGCTGCTGTGGTGCTTGAGTCCTTTTTCGCCAATTGCTGTTGCTTCGGCTGCAATGAAGCACCTGGCGATTTGGAGCGTGACTTCATATGAGTCAAGCGGCGCATAAGACCCACAGCGCCAGAGCTGCTGCCCACACTGTCGGCTCTGCTTTCGGTGTGGCCACTAGACTTGCGGCTAAATAAAACCTCGACGGGCTTAGTCCAGACGGAGCTGCTGGTAGTTGTTTGAGACTGTTGTTGCTGATGTTGCTGACGCGGCGGTAAATCTGGCGGATGGATAGGCAGCATATTGCTGAGACGCACATCCAGCGTTTGGGCTGGCGTACTAATATCTGTCAAGGGTGGCACATATTTCCACTGATGCATCAGCTGCTGCTGATCGCGTGTGCGTAATGGTGTCAGATAGTTGCCCGGGAACACTCCCATAATATCTAGCCAATTTTTTCCCTTGAACCAGCCATCGACACATCGTTCAGTAACGATGTAAACGCATCCCTTTTTCAGTTCCAGCTCATCGGCATGTCGAGGCTTGTAGGCAAATAATGCGAGGTACCCCCAAGGTAGAGTAGGAGGCATTTGCTGTTGATGCATCTGAGTCTTTAGCACTCGCGACGTTTGCGACGGCTGCATTATGACTGCTGCGGAAGTGGATGTGGCTGTGGCTGCCTGTGAGCCGACCTCCAACCGACTCAGCTCATGGGGCAGACTCAGTATCTCAGCGGAATGTCGATTCGTCTGCAATAAACTAAGTGGCGCTGATTGCAGCAAAGCATTCAACGAGTGACGCTTCTCCTTAGCTCCCTTGTCACGATAACGCACCGAGCCATTTCCAGCTACAGACGGAGCAGCAGCTGCAGCCACAGCTGCTGCATGTTGTGGGGTATTGGGAAGCGATTGATGGTTAGGACTGCAGTTGTTGGAGCTGCTAGTGGAGCTTGAATTGCTGCTGCTGTTGTTGTTGGAGGAATAACTGTTGGAAGAGCCCGTACTGGATTCATTCGTGATTTGCGTGGGATCGATAACTGGCACAGGGGGTAATGCGCGTTGCTGCATTAGTTGTGCTGGCGCCTGTGGTAATGGATTTGTGGAGCCGCTATCCAATAGCTTCTTAGCAGCTACATTTAGCTCAACGAAGGCTATAGGAAATATACCAATCGTTTGTCCAATGCGACCCTCTGCCCAATTGTGATCGACGCGTCGGAGCACATGAATCACGGTGCTCTTTTTAAACTCCAAGCATCCCTCCTCATCGCTGGGCCCCATCTTAAAATCATACATGGCAATGCACTGCGGCATGGGCAATGCGACAACTACTTTGACGTAGTTAATGGGAAATGTGCCCTCTTGCCCGCTGGCCTGGCCCACAAACCAGTTGTTGTCAATGCGCTGCTTCAGCAAAATTAAGTCTCCCTTCTTAAATTTCAGATCGCTCGCTTCACCACTCAAGAAATCAAAAAGCGCGTAAGCGTGCGGCAACATAAATCGTCGCGGTTTTTGGCGAGTTTCTTGATGTTGTTCCGGTGGCGAACGTGATTGCTGTTGGTTAGTTGCGTTTTGTTGCTGTTGGTCTTGGTAGTGCTGCTGTTGTTGCTTCTGTTGCAGTTGTTGTTGCGTGGGCTGAGCTTCCTGCTGCAGTTGTATTTTTTTTGGCAACTCTTCGGTTTTAGGGTCATTTTTGCCAGCATTTTGCTTCATGCCTACATTGAGTAACAAATAACAAATTAGCTTCGTGGCTTCCCACACACATGAAACACTCACCTTCTAAAATTCTCATCAGTAACACATTTGGCGGCAACTCATCAATGCGACAATTCACCAAAACCCGGCATTCTGGACATCGCAGCTTCTGCTGGCTGGCGACAATGTCCTGCAGGAAAATACAAATGATGAAGATTGCGCAAAAAAAAAAAAAAAAAAAAAAAACACAAAATAACACACACACACATTACTCACCTGTAAGCATTTGCGACAGAAGGTGTGTTGGCACGGCAAAACTTTGGAGGTGGTGTCCAAACGCTCCAAACATACAGAACACTCCAATAAGTCATTTAATGTGTGCTCATCCATTTAAATATATTTAATTTGTATTATTCTGCATTTGGATAATTTTGCATACTATAGTCCCGTCTCCCGTTGCCGTCTCTCTTCCATTCACTTCACTAATCTCAAGGATGGTCACAATTTGAATTTCGTGCAAAGCAACATTCCAAAAAGCACACACAATTACACACATGTACACCGCGCACACGTACCCAGCAGAGAAGCGGAACTTGTGAAATACATGCAAAGATACAACGAAATTATTTTGCTTTTTGAAACTCCACTATACTCTAAATTATAATTTGTATACTACATTTTCAATGTTTTCTTTTTTAATAAACTAAATGTGTAGGTTTCTTAAATTATTAATTTAAAAATGCACCCAGCGTGCAGCTTGTGGCCATCATCTAAATATACAATTACGACTACAAATATGCATACACGGATACAAACCTGCTTACCTCTGATCTACAGTCCGATACATACAATTAGAAGCACCTGAAATATTTCTTCAAATTGCGTTTATAGTGGAACTTACGCAATATTTTAGAATAGAAGGCATTATATTCTGACTATATAGTAATTTCACTTTTAGCAATCATATTCAATATTTGTATTCTTTTCCATTGAACATACTACGTTAGTGGTTTAACATAGATATGTATTTATTTATATACATATTTGAAATTGTTTATAATGTGCGGTGGTGTAAGAAAAACAGAGTGCCCAAATTGATTCCAAAAAATTCCTATTATAAAAATGCTGAAGACGGAGCACATACATATGCTGTGCAAGTATTATTGTATGATTAGTGGTATTATGTTAATAAACGCCGTAATAATTCTTTAGATGTAAGTGGAAAATTTGGAACGGGTCTCTACTATTGGTATTTTGTTTTTTTACTTTAATCGCTGACCAGACCAGGGATGCCAGCCCTCCGTCTTTTTACGTAGACCTCCGTATTTTAAAGGAGATATACGTGCTTACGTGTGATGAGACTAAAACTATGTACTTTTATAAAATATTGCAAAATACCCTAAAAACTAAAAAATTTTTAAATAAAAAAGATGATATGATTTATATTGGGTTAGCAGCACTAAATTCCGTTTTTGATATGTTTACGAAAACTTAGAGCCTTCTGACAAACACCTAAAATATTTTAATCAAAACATGTATAAAGTTTTGTAAAACGTACATTAATTAATATGTATAATTTGAACAATGTAATTGCTTTCTAAAAACGCAAATGGAATTAATAACAACGAAGTGATATACAGTTAGTTTCAAAATGTAATGGTCTATTTTTTTTATTGTTTTTAAACTTAAAAAAGTATGTAGATCTACGTATTTCAGCAAAATTGTGCTACGGAAAAACACGTAGATTTTGGAGCCTGGCTACGTAATTCTCAAATTTTGACTTGGCATCCCTGGACCAGACAGTCAGTGCTTTAATGGACATATTATTGAAACCTTGCACCACTAGTCAGTGCTTGCACTTAAATAAATATCGATAAAAATCCATATTGAAAATATCGATATTGTGCTTAAATAAAAACAATCCTCTCAACCTAACCTCCCTTTCACAAACAGAACGTGTTTGTTTTGATACGTGCATGCTGTAAGAACAGCCTCTAAACTATACCTAACGTCTCATAAATAAAAAATAATAGCGATGCCGAAAGTGCGCAGCACTCCGGGCAAGCCCCGGACGCAGGGCTTTAACCATTCCAACCATTCTATGAATCCAGAGCGACCAACAAGTGGTCTTAAAGGTGTAGCCCACCCACGTTCCAAGGGCACGATAAAGCGGTTGCAGATGTATCGTAATTTCAAGGCCAAACGCGATCGTACTGGAAAAGTTATTACTCCAGCACCATTTCAGGTAATATTGCTATGTCGCCATTGAAGATGCTTAAGATAATCGATTTTTGTTCCGCCTTCAGGGTCGTCTGCCCGCTGGAACAATGGCTAGAGTGGAGCCCACACCAAAATGGTTCAGCAATTCGCGTGTCATTTCGCAAACAGCGTTGCAAAAGTTTCAGGATGAGATTGGCAAGGCTGTGAAAGACCCATATCAGGTCATTATGAAACCCTCGCAATTGCCCGTTACGCTGCTAAACGAAGCGTCAAAGTATCAACGAGTTCATTTGCTAGAGACGGAGAGCTTTGACAGCGTATTTGGACCAAAAAAACAACGCAAACGTGTCAGCTTAAAAGCGCGCGATCTGGAAGACTTGAGTCGTGTTGCTGATGAGCAGGCCAATCAGTATGATGCCACTAAAGATGTGGATCTCATACGCGAAGATACTGGTGAAAAGAAGGCTGTGCGTGATTGGGTATTCGGGGCAGGTCAAAGCAAACGTATTTGGAATGAACTGCACAAGGTTGTGGACGCTTCGGACGTGCTCCTACAGGTGCTCGATGCCCGCGATCCTATGGGTACACGCTCCAAGTATATTGAGGAGTTCCTACGCAAGGAGAAGCCGCACAAACACCTCTTCTTTATCTTAAACAAAGTAGATCTGGTGCCTGTGTGGGTAACACAGCGATGGGTGGCAATCCTTAGTGCCGAATATCCTACAATAGCATTTCATGCGTCCATGCAGCATCCTTTTGGCAAAGGTGAGTCTTGCGGAGATAATCCTCAGCTTGGTCTCAAAATACATTCCATACTCTTTGTCAGGTGCGCTGATTAATTTGTTCCGGCAATTGGGTAAACTCCACATGGATAAGAAGCAGATCAGTGTTGGTTTTATTGGCTATCCAAATGTAGGAAAATCTTCTGTTATTAATGCATTGCGTTCCAAAAAGGTTTGTAATGTAGCTCCTATTGCGGGTGAGACCAAGGTTTGGCAATACATAACGCTAATGAAGCGCATATTTCTAATCGATTGCCCCGGTGTGGTTTATCCCTCTGCCGAAACGGACACGGAAAAGGTGCTAAAAGGCGTTGTTCGCGTGGAGCTCGTCACTAATCCCGAAGATTATGTGGACACAGTGTTAAAACGTGTACGCAAAGAATACATTGCAAAGAACTATAAAATAGAAAGCTGGACTTCATCCACACATTTCCTCGAGCAGCTAGCCAAGAAAACTGGTAAACTACTGAAGGGTGGTGAGCCGGATATCACAGTCACGGCACGCATGGTGCTCAATGATTGGCAGCGTGGCAAGTTGCCCTTTTATGTGCCACCGGAGGGCTTTGCCATACCCAAATCACAGAAGGACACATCTCCTGAGAAGGCATCTCCTGAAGAGACCGCTGTTAAGGATGATGTAGATGCCAAATCGGAGTCACCTACGTTTGTAAGCGAATCCGTAAAGAAGGCACGTGAGTTCAAGCAAATACAAGACTTTCGTAAGATTCGTGTGGGTCTGGAGTACGAGAAGCAGGATGAACGCGAGCTGGATCACATTGATCTGGAGCTCTTAGAACAGCAGAAGGCAGAGCGAGCGGCACGCAAAAAGGCGCGTCTGGTCAACCCAGAGCAGGAGGACGATTCTAGTGATGGCGCAAGTGATTTCTATTCAGAGGACGAATACAATGAAGACCTTCAGCGCGTGGTGCACAAGAAAGCAAAGGCCAAAAGGACCCAACAACTAGCCATCACATCCTCCGGTAAATTCCGTATTGCCAAGGTCCAGCCAGGGGATTCGGATGAGCAGAATGATAGCGAAGATGATGGTCCATCCAGTGCTAAGGTGCCACGACTCAATGCCAAACAGAAACGTGCGCTGGAACGTAGGCAGAAACGCAAGAAAATTGGCAGCAATTTCTATGAAACGACGAATGTGAAAAATCGCAATCGCAACAAGAAAAAGGACACGTAGCCATTTCTTTCTATCGCTAGTTTTTATAATTCACTGCAGCAAAACATAATTAAGAATCCACCACAAGCTGTTGCCCCAAAATACAAAAGAAATTTATTCACTCGGCGCATTGTTTCTTTTTGATTATCTTGCGTCCACATAGGTCGGCCAGGCTACTCTTATCGTGGTCATGCTCTTCTGTGTCACTGCTGCCTTCCGAATCGCTAGACTCAGTGTAGGAACCAATGCCAGGCAATATAGCAATGCACTTTAAGCTGCCCACATCGTGTTTGCTTGATTGTGGAGAAACAGCTAGGGATGCCGTCTTCTCTATGGACGTATTCAGCTTTGTTTTCGAAGCCTTGCTGCTGCTTGTGGGCAACTCCCCATTTTTACGCTTGATGCCCTGTCCTAGTAGAGACTTTTGTGTATTGCGCACTGTGGTCGAAGCGCCGACGGATTTGGCGGTTGTCTTTAGTTCCGCTTGAAGCTTCTGTTGTGATAAACAATATTGATTATTGATTATTACTGTAGTTCGTGGCAAGTCACTCCACCTTGTCTATGCTCTCTTCCTGCAGTTTTTCAACGCGATTGCGAAAGTCCCTCAGTTCCAGTTCCTCGTCATGCATTTGTTGCCGCTCAGCATTAATTTTGTGAGCATCGACCAGCTCCAGGAACTGCACTTCGTCATCGTCCAAGCCGCGTATCAAATTCTCTATATGTACATATGTGACGTTAGCAATAACTTATGAGTTCAATATATAACTTCTTGAACATACTCAATTTGTGGGCTTCCTCAAATTCCATATCCTTTTTTGTTTTCTGCTCTTTCAGGCGGTCGTACAAGGAACGACCGTCATATGGTTCCTCTGGTCTCTCCAGCGGATCTTCGGGCTGGCGTACACGTTCCCATTCTTCCTGACGACGCTGTCGCGTTTCTGCTGCCTCGGATTCAGTAACAAACCCGGAACTCATTTTAATACGAAGCAAAGTATTTAATATGGAAAATGCGTCGAAGATGTTGACGATTTGTTGTAAACAGTGTTTAGCAGCGTTGTTTATTTTAATCAATTGAAAAATATCGATAGCTTTGTAGAGAAGTGAGCGCGTACATTATAATGTTTCAAATGTATAACTATATAACAAGTTTTTATTTCAATCGCGATTCGCGATTCATTTGCGCAACTTGATTGTAAATAGATTTTTGAGCCTTGCTCATTTGGCGCCACTTTTTACTACCCATCTGAACTACTGTTGTGACTTTTATATTCACCACGCCACGTGATTTCAGATTTTCACGAAATTTCGCGAGGAACAAAAAGTACGGATTTATTAGTAAATTCCTTGATATATCACACATTTTCATATACTTCTCTATTAATTTGTAACAACTATAATTTTATCGATTCCAAGCTTATTATGGCTCTTTTTATATATGATCAAATAGGCAAAGCTATGCAGATTTACATACATATGTATGTAAATACAGACAAAAAACAGGCAATCTTCTTTACAAATAAGAGGAAACATATGCATATCCCATCAAATAGTATTAGCCTCAACCACTAACCAGAGAACCAGAGTGCCTCAACCAATCAGACATAAATTGGGACAACGAAGTTAAATACCTACAAAATTAAACTTTGCTGACCACGTCCAACATGTCAATAGACAATCGAATATACTAATCCGTAGCCATTTATAAATAGGAATTCCCGTCTAAGTTTAGAAAATAAAATGTACCTTTTCAGATCAATATTTTATGGGGCTCCGGTATGGGCTGATATTGCAAATTTACACATATGTACATACATAAATAAAATTCAAATTTTACAAAATAAAATATTAACATGTAAGAAGGCTCTAGTCGAGACTGCTCGACTAGGAGATACCCTGAACCCTCCAATCTGATATTCTAATCATTCTGAACTTCTTTTATGCACATATACATACATACACATGCATCCACACGCACGTATAAAAACGCGCTCTGCTAACTGCGCAGTTACGATTAATTTTTAGACGTACGATCGTAAGGAGAGTTCTGGTCCAATAATGTTCAAAGAGGCTGAAAAAACAAAATCAATTTTTCGATTAATCTTTTATTATTATTATGATAAATACAAACAGTTTGTAATTCATAAATTTTAGATACTACGCCCCCTTCGCCCCCAATTTGTAAAAAACGCATATCTAGTACTAGAGACTTGTGCTTTGGAATGTACACACATATGCTTACGCTCTGAAAATTTCATTAAGATTGTGTGTCTTCAAAAGAGGTTATTCAACAAATTAATTCTCATAATATTTCACACATTGTACTGCGCAGTCAGCAGAGCCCGGGCGCGTGAGGGTGGATGCATATGTATCTATGTACATATGTATGTATGTGTGCGTGCATAAAAGAAGTGCAGAATGATAAGAATATCAGCTTGGAGGGTTCAGGGTATCTCTTAGTCGAGCAATCTCGACTAGAGCCTTCGTACTTGTTCAAATCTATAATGGAACGAATGGTAATGGAAACTGAATCATATGAAATGTCAGAATCGCCTGTTCATAAATGGAAATGGTTAATTTAGAGCTGTTTAATAAGGCGAGGACTAGTTGCTGTAAAGAATTTCTCTATATGTGTACATATGTACACACATAAATTGATAACAGTTTTTGTATTGCGGAGATACGATATGTAATCTTACAGGAAAGTACGCAGCACGCGCGACACTCCTCGTGGGTCATAACTGGATTTCCTGAAATTTATAGCAATAAGTAGAGGACTAATACTCAAGGCAAATCTAGTCCACTCCGGAATAGTTTCTTGACTCTGTAGTTATTGTTCAGATTGAACAGATCGTATGAATAAATTGTTTTTTTTTTGCGTGTTGTTTTTGCCAGCGCTTTATTAATAAGAAATTCTTGCTGATATTCTACTAGAGTTTTCTCTGCAGTAATTTACATGCATTTCAGGGAAACAGTATTTATGCACAGCTCTAATAATGTAGTAATATGAACCACCATACATACATACATACATATATCAAGATTAATGCTTTATTGGTGAACACCCCTAAGTTTGCGCACCAATAATCATAATTATCATAATTATCACCTATTTGATGCCAAGCAGCTAGCTAAATATGTCCATTAATGATAGAAAAAGATGTGGGTACATTTAGTATATGGTATTATTTATTAATATCTCAAGAGGAAACATGTTTAGGTTAGGATCATGCATTCATTGAAAATTGTTAGTATTTGTTAGTTATATACAAATACTAACAATTTTCAATGAATATGAATATATATATATATATATATATATATATATATATATATATATATATATATATATACATATATATATATATATATATATATATATATATATATATATATATATATATATTTATACATATAT